AATTCCATTTTTCTCCATAATAAAGCGTTATTTGATCAAACCAACTATACAGCGATTCTTAGGATACATTACCCTAACTAACTTGAAAGTATGAGCGAAATCGATTTTTCGAAGTTTGCCACGTTTTGCTCGATGGTTACAGACAGTCACTCATAACTTTGTATTCTCCTGATGTCTAAAAGAAGATACCGTCGATTTTTGGCATCACTACTCAATGAACTGAAAAATATCATCAAGGGATATAATAATTAAAAGTGAGGTCAAGTTGAAATGCACAGACATCATGCTCGCACAACGAGAAGATATTTTCATCCTATATAGATTTGATTGCATGTCATTGTCTGTACCTAGAACGACCAATATGATATCCTAAGTAAATATGGTACTAATGTGCGCATGCGCGCAACAGAAGAAACTTGTCCATCCAATTTCACCATTTAATGGATTATTAGTCTGATTAAGGTACTCCCCGCTTTCAGCTGATCCATATTCTCTTACCAAATGAAGGTGTTGTTGGAGCTGTAGTCTCTGACTCTGTTAAATAAATTGTCACAACAGTTGTAGATTAGTTGTAAGATTAAAAAAATAAGTTGCTAACTGCTTTTTTATAGATCTTAATTTTTGCGTTTTTTTTCCTACGGACATATTCCTTCTCTTGTCGCCCCATCGACACACCCTTGGGTAATATGTTATAATTGAACAGTTGTATTTGATAGCATTGCATGAAAAGCAATAGTGATCGATCTTATTAAAGATTTGCTTACCGCAGTTCGTTTCGTCGAGTCCCCGTGGACACTCGAATTTGCCATTGCAAACGAGTGTGGATGAGATACAGCTTCTGTCAGAGCACTCAAATTCGTTAACATTACATTTGCCGAGATAGGCTGGAAGAAAATTTTTAAAATGAAAGGAATTAAGATGAAAAGAAAAAAAAGAATGTGGGAAGCAAGGAAGCAAGGAAGCAAGGAAGCAAGGAAGCAAGGAAGCAAGGAAGCAAAGAATAGACTAATAATGAGCTCACTCAAGTAGCTTATGAAGAACGAAATGGCAGGTGTTAGTAGGTTGTTACAGCAGATAATCAACACTTACTGCAATTGATCTCATCGCTAAAGTCACCACAGTCATTCTCTCCGTCACATGTCAAGTCCTTGGAAATGCACTTCAAAGAGCTGCACCTAAATTCATTTTCCTTGCAGCTTGCTGTACGACGTAAACGAAAAGATAAGTTGTTGTCATATGGATGAATAATGAGTCCTGCTTTAATGCATCTTGAACAAGATCTCAGGTTTTTTATCTCAATTCAAAGGTTCAAGTTAGGGACGAGTGGAAGTAGTTTGCTTGTCCAAGTCCTCGCGCAAGCCCCTTACTCTAATTAACGCATTTGCGCTAATATAACCCAATGTATCACATGCAACCTAGTCGCGGGTACGATCTACTATCTCGAGACAAAAGGAACGTAGAACTCATACCTACTTGGTGAGCATGAACCAGTACTACAGCAGCGAGAACGAATAGTGCAGCTCTTGAAGATCGAACACGTCGGAAGAAGTGAACCATCGTCCTGCAAATATACTATAAAATAGTTGAGCCAAACTATCGTTCAGTAACTCTAATACAGTGAGGACACTCGAATTGAGAACAGCTTCGAGTTTTTTTAATCACTTTTATAAGATGCATAAAACATCCCTTGAGCCACTCGAATGAAAATAATATTTGTTTTGATCACTTAGTATCTGGACTCAATGGACTCAATCTGGACTTCTTATTTTAGAGGGTTTGAAACAGTAAAAATCTCAGGAAATAATAACTTGGATAAAGCTCGAAGTGTTCACGGTTCGAGACTGAGCCCTTACTGTAAAAAAAAACAACAACAACAACAACAACAAAAAGCAAACAAACAAAAAAGCGATTAAGAGGGGACGTGGTGTTGGGAGGAAGGGCTTGAAAGGGGGAAGCACGGATGGGTAACTTTAAGAGCGCTCACCTCTCACCAATACAACAGCTAGAATTCAATTCCCGTTCTCTCCCGGAGAACTGTGCCAACTAATGTTCTAACTGAGAAATCTGATTGCAGCAGTCGTAAAATCTCAGCCGGAACATCACACACAGAACTACGATATGCACTCTAACTAAAAATACCATTCCTAATCTAAGTGGAAGTTATTAAAGGATTTTTTCAACACAGGTCAAACGTATCGCAGCCATAAACAACATAATTTATTYATATGGTAAACGGAACTTGACGTCAGTTATGGCTCAACGTTGTTTTTGAGTAGTGACCCAATAACACTTCCGTTCTCAATGATTTCCGGTTACGCATCAAAGAGCTTAAGGAGATAATGAATAAACCTTAGCAGCACGTAATAAGGAAGGATCAACTCTTCCAGTCAGGACAGGAATGGGACAATGCTAGGACCAATTGCGCATGCTCTGGCTAGACGATCCTGGACGATCTTGAGGGTAGAGACTAGAGACGGCTGGGGGGTAGGGGTGGGGTTAATCAAGGCCGTTTCTAGTTATCAGTCAATTAGCCCAACAAAGTTTCAATTAGTTCACGAAAGTCTGCCCCCRGTCCCTCCTTCCCTGAAACAGAAGCACATTTGGTTGTGCCAAATAGAACTCCGAGTCATTCTTAGTGACCGCCTCTTATCGTTTGTGATCCAAATCCATTGCCGCAAAGGTCGCGTGCAGCTCTCGGCCTCCAACGAATCGTCTTAACAATCGAACTCCTAAGTTTCTTTAATACGCACTTGAATTATAAAGACTTAGTTCTGGTAAGAAGGAACCAGTCATGCTATATATATAGTATTGGAAGATCATACCGATCGAGTTAATCAAGAGGCAAACAAGGATCTATTAGCTGGACTATGACCATGCGCAAACTGAGGAATCAATCAGTTCATGTATATATATATACTTGGGCCAGATATATAGATATACGTGTAATATTACATTACTACAATGTTTATAGAAGTTGTACAATAGCAGGCGAAGAAAACAATTTTGTAATCACACTAGCTACAAAATATGACAATCATAGCTAATATAATAAGTCTTSCTTGAGTTGTCAGAAAAAAAGGGGAATTCACCACATATGCATATCACAATGAATTATAAGTTGCTTTCTGGTTGCGGTTGTACTACTATCAATCCAAGTATATATCAAACAGGAAATACGTACAGTAAGCACATTCCTGACAACGTAGTTCTCAATTGTCCTTACAAAACTATAGTCAATGTACAATTTCTAACCAGCCAAAGCAATCTAATAACTCTCAAGTTTAAACCTTTTCAACATTCTTTGTGCAGCATATCTTTACATGTGAACGTGGCCCAAACTGCGTCACCAAGATGAAATCTTAACAAATCGCGATTATTTTTGCTTGAATTACGTCCAGAACAAAATCATATTCCCCATAAGTACTCACCTTTCACTTTTCTACTTTTTCCTGTACGAACTTTAAGTCGTATCGCCTAGTAAAGTTGAAACAACTTTGACTGTAGGTTTGAATTGAGTTATTACGCGGTAGATAATCCAAAGACAAACCCCTTATCTTATCAAAGTATCGTATATCAAGTAACTAAGTGTTGATGACTTAATGACAGTCTTTAACCTTTGGCTTTTTTATTAAATTACAAAAGTAAACATGAAATAAGAGAACCAAATTTTTTTATATAAAGTTTCAAAATTTAAACATCCTAACACAGGTATCCCAGTTACAGTTTTTACACATTAATTTCAGCTACCATCTTTGTACTTTATATTTAACTTGAAATTCTGGTTTGACCCAAAATGAATCTTAATATACCAATATTATTATTAATAACTGAGAAATCTTGGAGTTCAAAGATAAACGTTGCGATAACACGCCGTAAATTTTGAGTGAATTTTCGCGTGAAGATGTGACGTCATCGTTACAAAATAACTCGCCCCAGTCTTTCTCGTCTGCTAAATCGAAAATGAAAGTCAATATGGCGTCTTCCAGTATTGTTAGACGAACATCCTCGATTCTGCCTTTATTTCTCCATTAATATCTAAACTATAGGATCTGTTTATAACCACATAGACGAAGGAACTATTACTGAAGCGGCTGGTGTTGTTGGAAAGGATTATAAGGGCTTAAACATGCGAGAAGTCATATTTAGTTTATCAGATGTTGATCTGTTCGACCAAGACATTAGTCCATCGGACTATGATTTCTTTAAAAAACATACCGGTGCTTTTAAAAGAATGCTTGAAGACCAGGTATGAAATAAAAATATTCTCTAAAATATATATCATCCTTTAAAATAGAGAGTCCTAATCTTTGAGGGGAAAAATGTTAGATAGATTTGTTTTGAAAAAATATTTGAGATTTCAACTTCGATTGTATTCGATTTTTAAATCATGATATTCGAATCACAATAAATCTATACTTTAACCATAATATTAAAATATTTCTGTTAAGCAGTATTTTTGATTTTGATGATCTTGTGTTAATTCAGTCAAGAGAGAAGAAAAAAGAGTTTGTGGAAAAGTTTAAGACATTTGCACTGACACATGGCTGTATGAAGGGCTGTCCGGCAAAGGTATTTCTATATTTATCATAGAATTTGTTCTAATGTAAAAAAATGTCTATATAATGTATACTATTGATGGTTTTCATAGCCGCCATGTTGGATGAATTTAACAAAAGAATTGTCAATGAATTCTTTTGTTATATCCTCCAACATGGCTGCCATGGTACTCCCCTATATTCGCTATACGGGTACGTGCTGCCAAACAGGGTATGGTTTTCAGTGATTCTACTCTGGAACAGGGTATATAAAATTACGCTCGCTCTGGAACAGGGTATATGAAATCACATTCTCTCCTCTCTGGAACAGGGTCAGGGTTCAGAGGGCTCTGCAGCACATCCATACCCTAAATGGGCAAGAGTACCCCCCCCCCCCCCCCCCCNCTACTCTGGAACAGGGTATATAAAATTACGCTCGCTCTGGAACAGGGTATATGAAATCACATTCTCTCCTCTCTGGAACAGGGTCAGGGTTCAGATGGCTGTGCAGCACATCCATACCCGGAATGGGCAAGAGTACCCCCCCCCCCCCCCGCATGGGAGAGGCTTATAATTTACTCTTGAATCCCATAACAAACTTATATGAGGTGAGGATTTATGCAATGGGAGAGGGCCGCTTATAATTTACTATTGAATCACATCACAGAATGACAACYGGGACTTTCTAGATGAAGCTATTGCACAGTATGATGAGAACTTTGTAAATGGTAAGCACATTGGAATGCACATTGTAAATGCAGCATGTTGGAATGCAGCTCCATCTGGAGAACATAACAATAAGTTTCCAATTCTCATGAGATTGAAATTCTTTTGTTTTGTTCCTCCAAATTGAGCCTGCTTTGACGTCACATGCAAGGGGTCTATTCTTTCACCCCCCCCCCCTCTCCCCGAAGTTCTCAATGCCTTGCTTTTTTCAGTATTCAAGTGTTAGATCAGCTATATCTTTTTTTCTGTATGCATTTTTTCATAGGAAAAGTGAGCACTGCTAAGAGTATAGTTATGGATGCAGTAATCCTTGCCCAGAATAGACACAATTTACAGTACATGGGTGCCAACTCTTACTGTAAGTATATTCATGTCATTGGGAATCAAAGGTTGTGTAGCTGTAGTACACATGCTTCACTTTTGAGGTYGCAGGTTTGATTTCCTGCACTCAGCTTCGCATGTGAGGAGAGTTTGTTACCAAGGTAATATTAGGAAAGCGTAACATGCTAAATTTCAAATCAATATTTGAGATAGCTGTGCCCTGACTTTGAAAATTCCAATTCGATTATTGAGATGGCTTTGCCCTGACTTTATAAAACCCTTGAAGCACAGGAGAGATCCAACTCTACTCGCATAATTATGACACCAAGGCCAGGAATTAAACCCAGGTTACAGTGGTGAGAGTGCATTTACTGGCAATGCACACTGGTCACCCATGCTTCCATGTTTTTATACCATTATTTCATTCTTTTGCAGCCAAAGACCCTTTTTTCCACAAGGAAACTAGAGATACTTTCCGAAGGCTCTTTGGACAGCCAAGTGAGAAAGGAACTTGTTTAAAGGTTAGTACGAGTTTTTAAAATAATGCTAAATAACTGCACTTGCTGTAAGTTCTTTTCTTATTATTTATTTATTTTTTAACTGCTTCATCTTTAGCATTTTTGTCATACCTGCGCATCGCTAAAGAAGGGGTTTTTGTGTAGTTTACTGACCACTGTAGGACATTCCACGTCACCTTATACCTCTGCTCAAGCTGGAGTTAAATATTACCTTTAGGAAAATGCCACGCTGTTAGCTTCCGAACCGGCACGACCGGCGTACGATAATCGTGGGGAGATATTGGCTTCGGCGTTCCCTTTTATCACAGTCCCCGGTACACAAGGCAGATGCCGTGTTTGGCATAGTGGTGAGATCGCTTGCCTCTTACTAACGCGACCCTTGTTCGACCCTCGATTTTGATGTGGTATCAGTAGAGTTGATTGTCGGTGCTTCCCTGCGCTCCGAGGGATTTTCTCCGGTTTTTAGAATATATAATGGGATTAACAGTGGATTCCAGTGGAATTCCAAGTGGAATTTAGAAGTTGTTTTTTTGCGGAGGGAGGAAAGCCGGAGAACCCGGAAAACTCTCGAAGCACAGGAGAGAACCAACAAACAACTCAACTCACATACAATACCGAGCTCGTCGGGACTCGAACTCGGTTCGCATTGGTGAGATGCGAGCGCTCACACCGCTACGTCACCCATGTTTTCCTCCCTCCACAAAAATCAACTTCTGGAACGAGGTTCGTTTGTCTTGCATTTGTCTGACGTTTTCTTGTCCTTTGTTCGCTAATTAGCACTAATTATAATTCAAATCATACAATAATACAAAGTTCAAAGAGAAGCCGCCAAGCATCGCGGTAGTTTTTGATTAACTGACGCCATGATGCATACGTCTCGTTGTGTTTGTCATTGCACAGGTCGTCTGCGTTCTTCCACTTCACATCAAGTTTGGCGGGTCGATTTGTCGATATCTCCGTCGTTGGCTCGACGCTGACAATATCGAGCCAGTAGTTGCCCAGCTGAAAATCGTCACCAAACCACCGAGAGAAGTCAGAGGAAAAGGCAGGAAAGAAAGAAGGCCGTTGACAGATGCGGAAGAGAGAAAGGAATTTCAAAAACAACTTGACATGGAAGAGTTTAATTACCAGTTTCGAAAACTTCTGGAGTATCATCCTCGAACCTATGGCTTCGATGACTTTCCTGATTTTGCTGAAATTGGCAGAAAGCTTAGCATGAATACAGAAACGGATAATTCTACGAGTGGCGATACCAAGACTACAGATGCACAAGAGGAAACCCCGAAAGACGTAGGCCTTTCTCTTTCCGAATATTTTGGATTTCCAAAGAAAAGTGATGATTCAGAGATTGGTAAGACTGTAGTGGAAACAAGTGACTCAACCTCGAATGTACAGAAAAAATCCAGAAAGGAAGAGGAAGACCTGAAGGCGAAGATGTACGTGAAAGCTTGCGAGTCAGGCTTGGAGCCGAAAGAGGACGGAGACGGCGAAGAGGACAGCGATAAGGTACCAATGAGTAGCAGCGATAAAAATTACGAACAGGTCAGGAAAATGTTCCTTTTGGACAAACCTCATCCCAATGTAGAGTTCGACCAGCTTAATAAGAAGAGTCTCAGTAAGGAAGATGCGAAAAGATTGAAAAATTGCAAGGAATATATACGGAAAGCGCAGAGAGCGGAGATGGAGAAGAAGAAATCGTTGAATGGAGCTGATCAATGGCCAAGGTTTGATCTTGATGCTGTTACAGGGGAAAAAGTGAAGAGGCACGCATGCGCAAACTGCAGAGTGGTAGAACCCGAACCGAAAAAATTCAAAAAATGTCAAAAGTAAGTGAATGCTCTATAAGAAGCCCAAAAGTGAGATAATATTTTGTTATTGAAGCATGGTAGTGTTTTAAGTTTAGTATTCTTTGTCTTGATGCAGGTGCCATGGTAAAAGAACTCGATTTTATTGCAGTAGAAAATGTCAAGGTGCGTGAGGTTTTAAGCTTGTTCTTAAATATTGCTTCCTTCCATATGGCCACGGTCCATTCATCCATCTAGTCGTCCATACATCCACACAGCCATTCACTCATCTCTCCATTTCCAGCTAATCTGAGAAGAATATAGTCAACCACAATACTCAATTTTATAGTTCCGTTCAGTGACGACGAATAATAGTTATAAGTCGAGGCTGGAGTTTCCGCGCATAGCAAAACTATACTTTTTATCGTGCGCGGCAACTCCTGCCTCGGCCTGGAACTATTATTCGTGGTCACTAAACGGAACTATAAAATGAAGTATCGAAAAAAATTTGCAAAACTCAGGTGTCCCTTTTCCTCTTGACATTATGGATTTCCAGTCCACCAAAAAAAAAAAAAAACCTTGCTAAAAAGCGCTTAATAACGGTGACATCTCAGTTTTGCAGTGACGTCATTTGTAGGTTCCTTTTTTCAGATTGACTGGTTAAAACATGAAATATTTCATTTCTCTTTCTTTCCCTATGACTTCATTGGTTAAATGAGCGTAACCATGGTGTTCATTGCCATGGTAATCGTAAAGTTGCGAATGTTTACCTTATATTGTTTACAATTATTTTTACTTCAGAGGAAGACTGGATCCACGGGCATAGAGATGATCATACTGACTCTATTGAAGACGTGACATAAACTCCCGTCCAGAGTAGTGACAGTGGAGTTTTTAGCACAAACCTGAGGAGCACACAAATGTACCTGAAATGATGTGACGTAACCTCCTATGAGGGGTGGTGTCAGTATTTTTTAGTATAGCTCTAGCTCTGTATATTCGGCGAAAATCATTATTATCCAGGTTGATGAAGTCAGTGTAACATAAAAAGAATAAAAACGTTTAAAGGTATTCTTGGTGGTCTGGTAAAAACCTATATTTTATTAAAAAAGTGAATAACAAGAAAACTTAAACACCTTCGTCAGAGTATTAAAAAAAATTTTTTTTTCCTCTTAACATCCAATGTTTCATATCGCTACTGTCATTGAAATGGTTTTCTCATAACATCCAATGTTTCATATCTATTGACATTGAAATGGTTTTCTCGTAACATCTAATTTTTCATATCTATTGACATTGAAATGGTTTTCTCGTAACATCTAATTTTTCATATCTATTGACATTGAAATGGTTTTCCTGTAACATCCAATTTTTCATATCTCGGACATTGAAATGGTTTTCNGACATTGAAATGGTTTTCCTGTAACATCCAATTTTTCATATCTCGGACATTGAAATGGTTTTCTTGTAACATCCAATTTTTCATATCTCGGACATTGAAAATGTTTCCTTGTGAGATGCAGTTCCGTATGCTTGACATTGAAATGGTTTTTCTTAGTCGTCAGTGACATGTTTTACGACTTTCGACACGAATCCAATTGACATTATTAACATCCAATGCTTCATTTCACTACTTAATTAAACATATACCAAAAACAATGTGGAAAAAACTTAACGGGAAGGTGATTCGTACAAATTTGTTGCCAGATAACTCTCTATCCATAATAAACGGAATAAAAATAACTGATCCAACCTTCGACTTGACTATGCAGAATAACTTCCCTTGATCGATCACAAATGATGTGAGACTACAGAACAGAGGAACAAAATTCAAGGTCACGAGTCCAAAACAAAGAAACCATTCCTTGGCTATCAGATCAAACCGCAAAATCAAATTGCAACAACAAAACTGAAAATGCATTAACAAAATTGAAAACAAAGTGATAAGAAATATGGTCGATGGCTTCGACTCCGAAATTAGAAGCAATATTTTTTTTCTGGACAAGATTTGCAGAGAAAAATTCGTCAAGGTAGTTCACATGGCGTTCATCTCAGAGGCAGAAAAGTTTTCGCGGGATTCCTGTGTCGTGGCGCGTAATCTGATACCTTGTATATATATTCAAAAGCTTGTGTTCATGTAGTCTTTAGCTTGGCTACGTTCGTTTTGTACAGATTTTCTCAACTGATCTATCTATTACTCAGTCAGATAGCTTGTATTACTCTAAGTCCTACAGCCAGATATGTCCTACAGAAATCTGTGTTTTTTGTCTACGCTTTTGATAGTGTTCCTCACATCGTACATGCTATGGAATGAGTTTCGTCTGATGAACAAGACGAACGGAAGACGCGGTGCTGCACGCAAACGCGGTAAGAAAAAAAATTCTAAAATCTGTGTAAATAACTCCTAATGCTTCATCATAGGATTTATTCGCGAACCTCTCTGTTTACATAACCAATTATGAAGGTTTAAAATCTTAGGCTACATTGTCGATGTCTTGACATGGTTTGGGATCAGACAAACGGTGTCTCATTGTCACTGTATTATACCAATTTTCATGCGCGAAAATAGCTTCACTTTAGAGCGTCTATTACCACAGGCTGATCCTAAAATCGAGAATCTATTTATCCAAATCCCTGGTCATACTGAGAATCTTTATAATTAATATCGTCAACTCCCATAATAACAAAATGAGGACGAAAGATTTGCTGTACGAAGTCAAACACTCATAATCATGATCATGACTATCGTCTTCGAGCGATAAAACTGTCGGCCATTTTGAGTTTGTAGCGATTAGTATCTCTCGATTGATGAAATTGTACACCATTTTGATTTGCGCTGCTTGGTAGCAGCACTCAAGCTGAGATTCCATCGGATGCAATTTCGATAATACTATTGGTTCGGCATTCTTACCATAATAATTTTTTCCTAGTGAAATCTTGAGATCAAAAAATACACCAATATTTGTCGATACTTCAGTGCAAATTATACGCCAATATTTAACCAGAAAACCAACTCATCTTCATCAATAGGAAT